CTGAGGTGTTTTGGGGCCAGGACCACATGGCCCAGGCAGGCCCCAAAATGGCATTTTGGTTACCTTAGCACCCTGTCTTAAAGGATTAAATCAAGTGACCCTGGCTAATTGAGAGGATTATAAAGCCCACCCCTGAATTAGACCTCAGGAGAGCAGGTAGGATGTGTCACCAGCTGATCTCACTTGATACTAGAGCCTACTGGTGGGCAGTTTTTAGCACTCTGCTTGCAACGGGATGGAGAGAGATTTTCACAAATGTTACTGCAAAGATCAACATTATTTTGTGAAACAGTAGGTTGAGTGATAGCAGGGCAGGCCAGGACATCAGGCAGGATATGTCAACTTACTAATTGGATGCCGGAAAGTAAGTTATTTTAAAAAGTTAAAAATGTGGCTTTGGCATGTAATTATTGATTGTCAGTATTTTACCCAGCATTATACGTAAGTAAATTTGATCGTGATTTAATCAGCTCTTTTCTAAATTAATTAAATTTCAAGTCTTTAATAAGGAGATATTGTACTATGTTGGTCTATTTTCTGCAACAAAATTATATTCATTTTAGAGTAGTTAAGAGCTTTCCAGTGCTAAAACATACATATCGCCTCAGCAGCACTGAGAGGGTGGCATGAACAGTATTGCATAAACACACGTTACTAAGGAGTCTTTTTTTAATATGAGAACTTTGAAAGTCTGTCTTTCATCATGTAGTTAATAGTTATTAACTCTATTGCATTAAAGTATAAAGATACTATATTAAAAGTACCATCCAATAAAAAATAATATAGGAAACATACTTAATGTTTAATTCTCTAGAAGCCACCTTAAAAAGGTAAAAGGAAGCAGGTAAAATTAATTTTTATAATATTTCATATAAGGCAATATATCAAAATGTTTCAACATTTTACTATTGTGATACTTATTAGTGTTATATTTTACATTCACATTCCATGCCAAGCCTTCAAACTCTGATAAGTATCTTATAGATACGTGATAGAACATTGCGTTCTGAGGAGTCGCCTGCTAAGAGCTTAGCTGCATGTGCTGAGAGGCTACTGTATTAGATAGAACAACTGTGGAGTGTAAAGAGTTGATATTGTTTGTCCAGGAAGGGAATTTTACCTGCCTTTGGACACAACCAAGAATACTGTTCTTTTTTTTCCAAATGAACACGCATGGTTTGGTTTGTAAAGCCTAAGACATGATGATGCGTTTTATTAATGGTACTTATGCAGGGTTTTTACTCTGTTCTTTATAGGGGCTCTGTGAGGCCATGAGTTGGAACCAACTCGATGGCATCTAATAGCAAGAGTATATGTTATACAAAAGCAGATGGGTTGCTTGCATCTGTGTACTCTTAAACTTAGGTAGTAGTCTACATTGACCCACCCTGGGAGCTCCAGGTGGTGTCAGTATGAGCACTTAATTGCTAGCTGAATGGTTGGCATTGTGGGAGACAGGCCTGGCGATCTGCTCTGACAGATCACATCCTGGAAGATCACATCGTGGAGCAGTTCTATTCTGCACACATGGGGTCACCAAGACTTGAGATTGATAAGACCTTTGGGAAGGTATTTTGGCCAATCTTTCCATTTTTAGTATACATGCTTTTAGATTTAGTAATTTCACACATTGAAATTTATCCCATAGGCATATGATCATTACAGTTATAATTTTCCATATTTTACTTAATATAGTTTTCATCCATGCTTGAAGATCCTTGGCAACCAAGAAGAGTGTGACTATTATGTTAAAAAAGAAGAAATTCAAAAACAAACTTAGAAATAACTCACATATAAGACTTTTCATTTTGTCCTTATGTGATACAGTTTTAAAAAGTATGAGGGGAACTATAAGTTCTCATAAATAGATTAATTAAATTATAATACACTAACACAATGGACTGTCCCATAACCATGAAAAAACGTAGAATATGATAAATGCTTCATAGAAAAAGCACAATGAAGACTGTTAGGTATGTGATAATCCTGTTTTTATGTTAAAATACATACCAATGCATGGAAAATACTACAGCCAGGCTTAAAAGTTTTAATTAACAGTGATTATGTAAAAAAGATAGAACTGTGTGGAAGATTTTCAGTTCCCTATACCTTTCTGTGTATTTTTAAAAAAGGGTCCTCCCCAGGGAG